GTCAGGCGCAATATTAAGCGCCACCTGAGGACCGGGATTCGTTGACTAAGTTCTTGAGGGATGACTAAGTCACTGTCTAGAGAACTTCTCTTGATACGGGGTCGTAATACATGAGTGATACGATACAGGTAAAGCTAAGACGTCGACCGTTTATACGTCGGAGCAGCTCCAACGCGAGTAGCATCGCGGCGTGCGTACTCATCAGCTTCTGAGGCCTTACTAAGGTTCCCAGCCCTTTTATATAGAATCATGGCTTTCACCCACTACTGAGGTCTTGGTCGCGTGATCTATCACGTGATGTCCGTGCTGACTCAGGTCTAGTACTTTTCCATCAATCTTTATCACTTCTAGTGAATATTACGACTCAATTATAATGAATATAATTATAATTAGACGCCAGATTGGCACCGGACACCTCCTCTCTTTCTAGAAGGTCGTCCGCGATCCTATGGACACAAAATCAAGAAAAGATCTTGTTCAGAATCTCCGGTTTGAATCGTATCTCGTACCTTAAATAAAGCTGTAAAAGTTGTAGGAGTAATGGATTAATAAAAATAGATACAGTTACTTCACTGAACAGCATGAAAAACTGGAGGATGGCACTTTTAGAAGAAAAGAACAAGTCCATCTCCAATGCAATTTGGAAAAAATCCCAACCGGCAATCTTGAAAACACCTTGCGGCATTTAACGCTACGTCTCTAGGCGTTATATCAATCAAAATTATAAATCATTAAATTCATACGTCATCAACGCAATCAATGTTTGGTTATGATTTCAGATTCCTCATCTCATGCTCATTCATATTCATATCTTCAAATATCGAAATACAGAAAACATCATAAATCTTGAATTAGGATTATAAAATAAAATAATAAGTATTATAGCGTTCACAGAATCATGAAATACAAATTGATCCTTGAATCTTCACCTCTGGAAAAACATTTTAAATTGAAACACAGAGTCACTTCAAGTAGATGCATTATGTTTGAATATATATGTCAAGTTACTTTACCTTGGCTATATCGTTGAGCTTCAATTAAGTGCACAGAAAGTTGCTTGTAGAAAATTCTGCATGTTCCACTCAATCATAAAATTATAATGATATGAACGCATTATAATTGTTAAGGTAAATCCATTAATATTTACAAGGTAATCGTACTCGCGTATTAAACACATTGAAATTATGCCGACAAGTGCTTCATAGCCTATAGATTTTCGTAAGAACTGGGAGGAAGGCTCCTAATCCATCTGCCAATAAAATTGGCCAGATTGCCTTTACTATCCAACTGAATATGATGAAATAAGTCTTGACTAAGAAGCATTAATTATGGGGTGGCGAAATTAGAAGCCAAATTGTATTTTCTTTCTTTCGTGCTTCATATCCTCTAGAAGAAACTTGAAACATCATTCCATATGATCGATCGCTCAATTAAAAACTTTGGCATTTTAGAAGCTTTATAAATGAGTATACATTCATTTTTGGTTAAATCTCCCATTCATATGAACTAAGGATGAGTCTTAGTTTTACATCACTTCTCTTTAACTTCACTTCTTGTTTGTTTGTTTGTCTGTCTGCACTGTCTGCTACAAATCTTATAATCGAAATTTAATACACTTCTACTTATCCTATCGATCTGAAATTTTGCACACTTGCGTAAAATTGGAGACAATGCAAGAATCAAATGATAAAATAAATGATTTCAAAAATTATTTTTTTTTTCAATATTAAAAAAATTGAAAAAATAATTTTGTCAGCTACAAATCTTATAACTGATATGTAACACACTTTTACCTGTCCAATTGACCTGAAATTTTGCACACTTGTGTGAAGTCGGAGGCAATGCATGAATCAATTAACAGAATAAATAATTTTGAAAAAAATTATATATTAAAATAAACTGAAAATTTACTTTTTTTAATATTCGTAAATAAAATGAGAAATTCATTGTACATCTGTAACATTGGGAACACTCGATTCTTTAGAAGTGTTGTCTTTAAAAAGTAATTTTTAAACGTATAGTTATATTTTTAATATTTTCGATTTCGTTCGCGAATTTAACAGCTATGCGATCCAAAAATTCCATGTGAGGTTAATTAGTATCTTCTAAAGAACTGTGGAATTTGTGTGCGGATACACTGCTAACACAACAGACGAGTTACAGGAGTGTATACGCACGGCTTCAATTCGCACACTACACTTAGTATCGTTGTTGCGTGAAAAAAGTTTGGTATAACTATAATCTCTTTCTAATTTAATTTTACTTGGTATGTAACACAAAAGTCGTATGCAACAACTCACGAGCCACCCCCAAACAGGTGCTAATGCGGCGTTCGTCAATAAATAAATAAACAATATAATACTGATGAACTGTGCGGAAAAATTAGCGCATGTGAACGGTAATAGCGTTTTCCGATACTTTATTACTTTATTTTACTATGCAACAGATGATAATCGAGGGATTCGTACATGCTAAAATTCAAGTAATCTAACGTAAGCTTCTTGACGGCTTGAAGATGACGTAACCTATTTCGGTAAGGATTTCTCTATAACTGTCAGTTTGATAGACATTAAACTTTGCACTTAATATATATCTTTGTACATCTTAGTGCTTTAGTAGAGCGTTAATATTATCTTCAGTGGAGAAGCGCCAAGATGAGATAAATCTAATCAACGAGGACTCGGTAATGTCACCAGAGCATGCCACTCATCACGGTGAGTGCACCACCAGAGCATGCCACTCATCCAGGTAAGTGCACCACCAGAGCATGCCACTCATCACGGTGAGTGCACGACCAGAGCATGCCACTCATCCAGGTAAGTGCACCACCAGAGCATGCCACTCATCACGGTGAGTGTCCCACCAGAGCATGCCACTCATCACGGTGAGTGTCCCACCAGAGCATGCCACTCACCACGGTGAGTGCACCACCAGAGCATGCCACTCATCACGGTGAGTGCACCACCAGAGCATGCCACTCATCACGGTGAGTGTCCCACCAGAGCATGCCACTCATCACAGTGAGTGCCCCACCGGAGCATGCCACTCATCACGGTGAGTGCCCCACCGGAGCATGCCACTCATCACGGTGAGTGCCCCACAAGAGCATGCCACTCATCACGGTGAGTGCACCACCAGAACATGCCACTCATCAAGGTGAGTGCCCCACCGGAGCATGCCACTCATCAAGGTGATGGGGTTGAAACGCAGAGACGCATGTCATGACGCCACTCATCAATTAGGAGACGTATGTGAATTTTTATAACAGTATAATTTTTGTAATTTGTGGAAATTGGAAGAGACAAACGAACTTTTTCCTACCAAGTTAGCAGTGAATTGCTATGGTCTGTCCCAATGGACAGACCATATGGTGGTGTGGTGCATTGATCAATATACCAATTGTGGAGAGAAACTGCCGTGCTTGCAAAGTATATGTATATATACCATTAAGACCGACAGTTTGAAGTGATCCACTGCTTTCAAGAAAACGACTTCTCCAGCAATAATGTCGTGACCCGAACTTTAAAGTTTATTTATTTGAATGAATCAAGGGCCTAAGATGTCTGTTTTGCTCCATCCTCACCCAGGGTTATTACTTACAATGTATTTTGAAGTTTACGTATTTATTGTTTATTTATGTATAAATTTTGCAATTTTTTATAGTTCAGCTACACTACTTCGTCAACGAGGTCCCGGCGGTGCTCGCCCCCTGTACGCGGCAGACTGAGATGGGAGTATAGCGAGTCGTTGGTTCGAACCGCGGCAAGCTTCGCTAAACAGTATAATTTTGATCACTACTTCATAACTATGAATGTATCAGCTCATAATCCTATACCGAATGCCCTAACAATCTGCCCGCTAGTTAAATTCAATTGCGCTTGTTAATAGTTAAATGGTTGGTTATGCTTTAAAGCGCATGTGTTGTATATATAGTATAGCGGTGTCAGCTTTGATTAGACCGTTAGACCTGTCGCCAAATCTAAATCACACAACATTCACGGCTTGTTGCAGTCTCGAACTCGCAACTCACGGCTAAAATTCTGCTGTGCTTAACCGCCCGGCCTCCTCGCCGATTCTGACCAGAAACTGGCGCACAGAGCTGGGATCGAACCCGCGCCTCTCTGCTCCAATCTTGGTACTCTCAACTGTAACCACTGGGCCACTCCACCCCAATCATGAGTGGCAGCAAGCCTAATATTTCTGAGCAGTAATAGCAAATTTCCATGCATGTTACATTAAATGAAAGTCATAATTCAAATAGTATATTTATTTAATCAGAATGAATTTAATAGTAGATGAACATGTGTGAAATATTTTTAAGTCTAATACAAATGTGTTGTTTATGCTTAATCCTACTAATACAAGGTTATAGGATTTATCCAACGATATATTTCTTATTATTCGTAACTGGAAGACATTTATTGCGAATAAACAAATGCACTTTCATACGAATTATATAAAGGAGTGAAAATGTTACGAAATTATATATATAGTGGCGGTCACTTGTAACTTTCACATGCAGAAAGCGTAGCGCATAACCGCACACTCAGACGAGTGACAGGGTCATGGTCCAAATCGCGATGCTTTTGAGTTGGTCATATTGACACAGTTTTGGCGCATAAAGGTGCATCTGTGCTACTTGCAGAAAAATGTCTCTATTAGGACAATGTGACTATAGGACAATATAACTTGATTGATAACTTCAATTGATATAGAAAAAATTGGTCACATACTGTCGTCAAAAATAGAACACACATTTTTTAAATGACACTCAAATACCCATTTTCCGCAAAAAACTGTGTCAGGATGACCCAGACCAGCGCAAAACGTAAATCGTTTTTAGCGCATTTTCTCATTTATGGAAAAAATGCACTATTGTGCTCGCCATGTCCGTCTGTCCGTCCGTCCGTGACCTCAAGTTTTCGTCGACGAGAAAATGCGCTCTCTGTCACTCACTGCAGTGAGTAATGAGTTATATTTTTTATTACCGTATAGATCTCCACATCACTCAGGATCTCCACATCACTCAGGATCACCGCAAGTGTCGGGGGCTGCGGGCTCAGAGTTCGAACTTTGAGGCGTCGGTGAGGCAGAGCTGCTGGATGCGCTCGACCGTCAGCGGCAGAGCTAGCAAATAAATCAATTACTTTAAATTTATTACTTACTTACTGCACTAAAAATAAATAATTTTGATATAAAATGTAAATAATTGCTTCATGAAAAGTCTATAATTTCTTCACAAAAAGTAAATCATTTCTTTATCAAATGGCAATAGTGACATTTCGGACCGGAGTTCCTAAATAGAAGTCACACTTCTTGGCTTATAGAGCCAAAAAGAAGCTATGTCAATGTACGAGGCTATGAATGAGATACGCTTTTAGGCAAATATTAACCTATCCCTTCTCATTAAATTTGAACTCATGTCTGTCAAGATCAAGCCTTATTATTTTTGCTATTAAATTAATTGTAATTTATTGTATAGAACTCACGTATCTCGAACCAGCCGCGGGTGCCGGCGTCCGCCCTGGCGGCCGCGATGGCCTGGCGCAGCGCCCCCACCACCGCGTACGACATGCACAGCGGGGGCTCCCCCGTAGCTGGGGGCGGGTCTTATTAGTACTAATAGATATTGTTGTAGTATAAATATTGTATGTTAAAAGATATTGTTGTAGCATATCTATTGTAGGCTATTATATATTGTAGTATTATTATAACAGCGCCCCCACCACCGCGTACAACGAGCACAGCTGCGACTCATCCGTCGCTGGGATGGCAGACAAAGTCTAATATTTGTACGATCATAGATATTTTAGTATCTGTATATTTTACCCTATTTAATAATGTATTGTACACGCAGGTCTAATGTATTATTTTATAATGAGTTTTGGGCAGCTCCGCCCACGGTTACGCTGGTGCACAGCCTTAAACCTTCATCCCGAGTCTCATGGATTTTCCCTGACCTCCTCCCTAGGGGACATCCAGGTATCCTTCCTCTTGACTATAACAGCGAGTAGTTCTTGCTGGTATTTTCTATTACATAACCTAACTTATTGTTGCTATTTTCGCACCAATATGTTACATATCTACGCTCCTTCACTTTCGCATCACAGAACCTCGTGACGCCCCAACTTTGAGCCTCAAGACACCGGGACTCCCACTTATGGACCGCAGGATTCCCTCCGCCACCTTTGGGCCACAAGACCCTGTGACTCCTCCACCTTTGCACTGCAGGGCTTCGTGGCTACCCCACCTTTGGACCACAAGATCCCTTCCGCCATCTTTGGACCGCAGAACCTGTGATTCGAACCTTTGGACCGCAAGACCCCGCGACTCTGCACCTTTGAATCACAAGACCCCGTGATTCCCATATTTGTACTGCAGGACCCCGTGACTCCCCACCTTTGGACTGCAGGACCCCGTATGGGTTGGGGGCGTTAGAGAGGAGGGTCACCCGCAGGTCCTTGGGGATGTCGAGGGCTGTGTAGGGCTTGTACTCCTGAGAGGGGGACGATGGGGTTAATTCAACCCATAACCTGGAGGCTGCCGGATGTGTAGGTGGGTCGAATGTATATGCTCCAGTGTTGTAAGTGTGAAATATGATCATATACCGTGAACACATGAATACTGTGATCAGATATATATAGAAATACTTTGAAGAGACATGTATACTGTGTACAGATATATATACTGTTAACAATGAACATTCCATTGACCACATCACTCACACATATGAACACTGCACATGGTAAGTGACTAGTGGTCGGTGTGTGGCTAGTGACGCTAGTGACTAGTGGTCGGTGTGTGGCTAGTGGCGCTAGTGACTAGTGGCTGGTGTGTGGCTGGTGACACTGAGTTACGTCACTACTTAACCCAACACAGGTCACTAGTGCAACTCCCAAAAGTTATTTAACGTTATTTCAACGTAATTTATTCGTTTTTTTCAGCGTTATTTCAACTTTATATCAGCGTCATAACTACGTTATTTTAACGTTATTTCAACGTAATATCGACGTTATATCATCGCTATATCGACGTTTTATCGACGTTATTTCGACGTTATATAGACGTTATATTAATATAGCAAGGTTATGTCTACATTATTTTAATGTTATTTCAACGTTATTTCAGCGTTGTTTCAATGTTATATCAACATTATATCGAAGATATTTCAACGTCATGACGTCTCGTGAACACCTTGTGCTATTTTTAGTAGTTTCTTAACTTAACGTAGCTTGCTTCTATGAACACTTATTTTAATTTTATATTATATTTATTATATTATTATAGTATATAACACTATATAGTATATAACACTGTTGAGTTTTTTATATGTATCCTATCCCGATAGGGATAACACTTTCTATAATGCTGTCCACTTTGGTATACATGTATGTAGTACGTAGGTATATGTTTACTTATCTGATTTAATACTTTCACACCTCCTATTAAACCCCAAAATAATAACATCCCCAGTTTGAGGAGCACATCCTCAACCCTCTTCTAATTCTATTCATACTTTCACCTCTTCTATTAACCCCCAAAATAACCCCCTCTCGGTGAGAGGGGTACTAAACTAACGCCCTCAACTAAACTTCCCTATTAACCAACACCCCCCCCTCGCCCCCCGTAGCAGTCCACATCCGCCGGTTGGGGGGGCGCCAGAACTCCCTCCCCCTCGTCGGGGACCCCCCCGCCGTGAAGGGAGGCTCCGCCCTTCCCTCTGTTCCCGACGAGGGTCGAGGCTCGCCAACCAATGAGGAGACGGATGCCAGTCACGTGACCGAGAAGAGTGATGACGTCACGACTACGTCATCAGGCGCAGGTGCTTCGACCAATCACGACGATGCTGGTGGTGACGACACCGTGGTGGGCGGGGCTTCAGACACTGATATTCACATCACTGTTCACTGAGAACGCCTTGGAGCATCCGGCGCCCGGCGGTCAAAAAATGATTTATTTCTGAAAGATATTCAAAGGACTCATATTATTTTGAAAATAATTTTCGAGGAGACTCAAATTATTCTGAAAATGTTTCCATTATTCCGAGAAAAAGGTGACGTATTCTTATTTTTTTGGCAAAAATTCCTCTATTCTGCAAAGTAGAATTGAGGCAGTGAGTTGCGTGTTCGAGACCGCAATAAGCTGTGGATGTTCTGCGATGCTATTAATTAAGAATCGGCGACAGGCTCACGGCCTAATAAACACTGAAACCGCTATTATTAGTAGTATTTAATGGGATTCGTCTCATGAAAACGTTTGAGGGATCGGATTAGTAAAATTTCAGAAAGATTTTAACCGAAATAAAAGTATCCGTGATTTATCGCTTCAGAAATGCCTGATGCTGCCATAAGAAAACTGTCAATTTAGCTCACAAAATGCCCTATTAGTAGTAATTTTGTAATTTTAAGCGCAAAATTCAATTTTTCTTGGTCGTATACATCGAGAATGACAAAAAATTTTAGGCTAACGTAGATTTTTACCTGCCAACGGTGTTGAAAAATGCCAACGTTTCGAAATTTGGCAGGAAAAGGTCTATCTGGCAACCCTGCTTGGCTGTAGCACAGATTTCGCTGCCTGATACTATATATATATATATAGGCCTAAAATTTCATTCCCTTGTGCAAAAATCAAATTAAGTTAATGGCTAAAGGAGCAACGGCACACACTCAGAAAATTAAATGGATGATATTGTTCAAATAGTAATAAACTGCCCTACCCGCAGCACGAGCATAGAACGGACCGAGATCTGATATGCATGTTTACTGGGCCAACTGAGAGACAAGATGACCCAAAGGGGGCAAAAATTCCATAGCTATTTGACAAGTCCCACTTATTTCTTTGACTGTAGCGAGGTTTTTTTTCTCTGATTCAGGCAGCGGTGGCGCTATATAGTATAGCAACAACGTCACATGTATATAAATAGTCTACTTATATTATATTTTCTGCACAAATTCATGAGCATTTTCTTCAGAAAATATAGCGCTATTCATTTCCATGCTTTTTACACTTGAGCGCGAAATGCCCCCTACTCCTCCCCCTTCCCATTTATACACTCGAAAGAATAAATGGGTCAAATTGTCGAAATAGTCACACACTTCCTGCTCGTAACCGTACGCCCTTTTGTCGGGTAAAATTGGATCACGCAGGATGACTTACAAGCGAGGCCAAAAGTGCATTACTACTTGGACAAAATCTCATCCATTTCTGTGAGTGTACACAAAGTCATCATCACAATATAATAAAAACAAAAAGATTATTAAAAACAAATATCCTGCAAAAAATAATAATATTGATATATATGTGCTAAAAGTCGATCATTTAGCCGCGTGGTTCTGAAAACAATCTTGTTGTTGTTGCTGTTGTTTGTATTTGCATCGTCGCTGTTGTAGTCTCAGCTTGTGTATTGTTGGAACATCTGATGTCTTTAGCCCCTTAGCGCCCAGCTGTACAAATATGTCGCCTTTCAAAATGACGTTTTTTGCTTATTTATGAAGCGTATTCGTTCAATAGGATAAGTACATTGCCTCTATATACTGTTCTAAAAATCGCCGTTACACGGTACTACCGGTATTTCAGTTACAGGTCGTCACGTAAAACTCGCCGTCTCTCCGTTTTTTCTAATTTAACACTAGAAACCCAAAAATCATCAGAAAAAACGGCGATACGGTGATTTTTTCACGGGGCAGCCGTGCACAAAAAAACGCCGGTGAGACCGGCGTTTTTTCGAAAAGTGTAATTCCAGTCTGCGCTAAGACCAGGTGAAGATATATATCGCTTATCATATTCTTCAGTGATTATCAGCAATGTTGTAGGGATGCAATGTGATATTCTAATTTTGTTCACGATACAAAAGGTCCCTAATGGGTAAAGGGCTAAGAGGACCTTAAAGGGTTAAGAGGTGACAGTCTAAGCTTGTGCATTGCAGAAACCTTTACAATAAACCAATGACGTCGGAAAAACGTTGTAAAAACGTTTAATGAACGTTGATTCAACGACACAACAATTAACTCTACATCCGATGTCTGGTGGATTGCTTCTTTCACTAAGAAAAATTAATGTGCGATATTGTCCGATTAGTCACACACGTTCTTACCCGCACCCGAAGCAGGGAGCTGACGTATATATAGCCTTTTGCCGTGTAAAGCAAACTGTGTCAGGATGACCCAAAATGACCCGCATCAGAACAGAAAGTGCGTTGCTATAGTAACTACTTAACTAATTCTCGTGTTTCCATACAGAAGCTGTGTGTGTTCGTGCGTAATAGGGTCTGTTCGTCTTGCAACACTGTTGTTTTGTCTATACCGAAGCCTGTACGTGTTTAATCGTATTATAGATTTAATATCTTTACATTATTGATGTTTTAAATTAAAAATTTTTAAATCTTTTCGAAAAAAACGATGTTTCTTGAGACCTGCTGCGCGCTCCCAGAAAATGAGGCGAGATTGTCCAAATTGTGATGTGTGTTTCAGTAATATTTGTGTAAGTGTGTCAGTATTTGGATAAAATGACTCTTCATTTTTGTGGGTGATGCGTGTTTTGTATGTTGTGATTACTTAGGATTTCTTTAGCAATACTAAGTAATAAATTATTTACTTTTATATTTTTAGGTAATTATATATTATTTAGCAATTGCGGTTACCTGCTGTGGTGGAACGTCACTGCAGCATTCAAATAAATGAATGTATGATTTGTCTTTCTTGCCCCTGTGTGGGTGGGTCATCCAGACACACTTAGCTCCGCAATGTGAAGTGGGGTGGTTTTTAGTTTCGTTTTCAGTGAATGGGGCGGTTTTTTGTTTCATTTTCAGTGAATGGGGCAGTTTTTTGTTTCGTTTTCAGTGAATGGGGCGGTTTTTTGTTTCATTTTCAGTTAATGAGTTAATGTCAACTTTACACACTCAGAAAAATGGATAGGTTCTATTGTTCAAATAGTGACACACTTTCAGCGTGTAGCAATGATACGCCCTTCTGCTGGACACAACTGGGTCAAGTTGACCAACACTATGGTGAAAAGTACGTCGCTAACAGGACAAATTTTTACTGATTTCTTTGAGTGTATAACTTTTGAAAGGCCGCACACTTACAATTGTCGTAGACCGTCAATTCATAAGAATAAATGGGTCATATACTGTATTATCCAGATTTTGACTCGCTCTCTGGCCCGCAGCAGGCCAGAGCACTGGTTTGCCCATTTTCCGGACCAAATTGGGTGTGCAATAAATGCAAAAAGTTTGTCAATATTTAGACGAAGACTCGCTGATCTCTCTGGGTGTAAAATCACCAGAGTTGAGTTAAGTTTGGGCGCTAAGTTTTCAAAAAGATAATTTACATTATTTAGAGTTACTTTAACTATTGTAAGTTTAAGAATTAATAAGCACGTTAAAATAAAGAAGCTCTCGCTGCTCCATGCCACCCTATTTAACTTTAAAAATTATCGGGTTTTTCTACAAAAAAGCTAATGAATATTTAAAATTATTAAATGTAATCACATATATATA